CGTTGATCTTGTTTTTCAGTCATTTTTGACAATATCAAAATCCGACGAACGCGAAAAAAGCATTGTAAACAAAGACACGCTGCGCATGAACTATACCTCCGGCAGGTGTCAGTAAGTAACCAATAGATTCGTGAGGCTTTACTGTTGACGTTTCTGTCCGGTAGAGGTCGCTCGAACACTATGGCGCGAAGATATAAACGTAGGCCCGATACTTTCCGGACAGACCTCGTATTATTAACATTTGCAAGAGCTCGTTTCAATAAAATACATGGATCTGATAAATATCATAAGTAATCTAGTGTTGAAGATATTTACAATAATATAACTAATCTATTGAAAACACTTCCTGAGTTGATACACGACAAATTCTATTAATTATTTAAAGCGCAAACTATATAATCCTAAAAATAATTCTACAAATTCAAGAAGTGAAATAAAATTACACACACGCGTGCACACACACACGCACGTAGGCATGCACCTACACACACACAATGATTTTGGTGTTTTTCGGTTTCATTAATTTTCAAAGTCATTTTTCGATTTATTCAAAGAAATATATTTATTCCAATTTATAAAAGCTATTTAAATGATAAATTTTGTAATGATGGAAAGAAGGGAAATAGTGATAGATAGAAAATCACTTAATTTTAATAATATTCAGCTTGCTATTTATTTTAATTATATTCAGCTTATATTTGCTGAATATAATTAAAATTAAGTGTTTTTCCATCTATCACTATTTCCCTTCTTTCCATCATTACAAAATTTATCATTTAAACAAATCATAAGGGAATCAAGACAGTATGTTACGTTTATAAAAGCTATTTATTGAAAATATTTACGCTATACAGTAAATCACCAAAATCAATAGATTTCATGTTTACGAAATTATTACGTGCGTGAATTTACTTCGTTGATTTTTTATTTCATTGAATTTAAAAGCTATATATTGATTATTACTTAAATAGTAATCGGAATAATTTCAATATTGTGAAATAAACACAGTCAAGAAAGATTCAGTTTTTATATAAACTAATGTAACCTCTCGTTGGCTCTATAGTACTGGTCAAAATATAGCACATGCACTGAAAAGTACGCAAGTAATTATTCTGCATGAAAATATTTTAATAACAAAAATATTGCTAGTACCCACTCTTTGTCTATAGTAATGTATTATCTCTCTTTAAGATAATAATGAATAAAATTAAGCTGTTAATCTTTTAAATTTGGAAACAATCTAGTCTTCCAAGTTATTCACAAAGAATATCGTATAATAATTATGACATAACAGTCGCTTCAATCAGACCATAAGCATTTGTTTTTAGAACGTAACGTAATTAAAATAATTCATCTATTTGATGGAAAAAGTGTTGTTTATAAAGGCGACATAAATTGTAACGATTTTACATGTATATGTTATGAAAATTAAGTTTGAACCCTAAGATCGATTTGTAAATTAAATTTCCGAGAGTAAGCAAGAATTTGACCAAGAAATATATGCTTGAAAATAATAAAAGTAGTAATTGTTACATATTTTAATGATAGAGATTGATGTGTTCTTACGTGAATATTAACAACTGGAAATGTACTGCGTAACATAAAGCGAGAAAATCTCAATACAATTAGAAGTGCCGTTCTAGCAGTGAACAGAGTCTAACTTGACACGGTTCGCTGTGCTGTTTAAAATTCTGCTGAATATTGTTGTATCTATGTAGGAAAGACCAGGCAGCGCGGCAACAAAAACTTAGCCGAACTACTACGCTGTGATAATATATTGAGGAAAGATTGCCTAAGAATGCTTTTTTTCATAAGAGTGAGGATCTTATGAGTTAAGCACTTAGATAATTATGTAGAAAAAGAGAGTAGCAAGGTTAACCACTGAATAAAGAAATGAATCTCAGAAAATAGTTGAGACTTTATTTCACTTATTACATATTGGGTTGCCCCTACGACGTTATTTTCACAAATTTGCGTAAACTTTGATAACGCTTTACTGTGAAATCGCGCACGCAAAGTAAAAAGTTGATAATGTAAAAAATGGAATTGAAAACGCTAAATTTTATAGTATAAATTGCTTTTCGGGGAAAAATCGCTTTACAAAGTTATAAGCAAATAAGTTTAATCAAATGAATAGGACAAAATTTACAATAAAATTATAAGAATATTTTTAATCAAAAAATTATATATGATACATGGAACATTATTCCAAATCAAGTTGGTCAATTTAACAGATATAATTTGAATAATAATATAATTAAATAACGAATTCCTAAATTATTTCTTTTGTGAATATAAAATCAACGATCGGATAACAATTGGTTTTATTAATTTCTCAAGTATATACAGTTGAATCGCTATCTCGCAACATAATTTAAAATGTTTAAATAAATTATTAATTTTTCATTTATTCATAACTTTGTTCAAAAATCAGTTTTCAATATGTCAAATTCTTGCTTCTCTTTCTTAAGATTCTTTTGTTTATTGCTAAATTATATGTGATTTCTACTTTTAAATTAAAGTTTGCTAAGTATTAATTAATTAATATGCATAATAAGTTTAGATGCGAAATCAGCACATTGAAATGAGCTGAAAAAGTACTTTTATTCATTGAAAAAACTTGAAATTACAAATTTCGCAAAGTAAACAATCGATTTTGTATAGATGTTACGTCACGCTTGTTATATGGTAATGATTTTCATCGAGTGTCTTGACACATCTAAGCATTAATGTGAGGTAGAGCTTAGTTTTAATAGAACTTTTCCTCATTTTCGGGTGTGTGACAAATTGCCGTTATACAGTAAGAAAAAATAGATTAGTGAGAAAAAATAGATATTGAACTATATGAATGATCATGCATTAATCGGTACTATATTCTTGAAATTGTACCCTGACCGCTTGTGTTTGGTTACCGTACATCAAAAAAGTTGTTCATTAAAAAAATGTTTTCTAGAACTAACGTGTAACATACAGCGCTGGCCAATAATTCTGACGAGATAATTCATGTTTTGCTTTTGCTATAACTTTGAGCAAGCATAGCTTCTTCAATTTTTATTCTAAAACTTTCTGACCCGGGAATTTTGAAACTCTCTCCAAAGGCTTTCTTTCTGGCTGTCTTAATTTTTCTCATGGTTTTTTATACGGATATTAAAACGAGTAAGAATCTTCAGAAATTGTTGCACTTTTTCATTTTTGTTCAATCGACTGTACGTTTTTCAATAATAAAGATAGAATAATTATAAAAAAAGATTATGAAGAGGCTTGAAAAATTCTATTTGGAACTATTTATCATTAAACTGTTTCATCAATTTATTGTAAAGTTTTGAGCTCGTAAAGTTATCGATTTTATACTTGTGTTATTGAGAAAATTTAGAAAGCAAGTAAAAAAAACCGTCCATTTATAAATAACCTTATTTCTATAGTCTGTAACAGGGTAGGTTAGCTAGTACAAAAGGAATTTATTGAAGCACAAACTTCCACGATGGAGAGCTGACCGCCGCTCCGTTAAACACATATGAGTATACGTGTATTCACCTTTACGTTTGATACTTTCGTTTCAGTGTCTTCTTTCCAACAGAGTTCAACTCACCTTAAATCACCTGACTTGTGACACTCGATTTATCTTAGGTGTGAGTGACCTAATGCTTATTCCAACTTATTCCCTAGATGAAATTGGTTTAAAATTTAATCCGTAATAGATCCGTTAAACTAATAGCAAACGAAATGACGTAATGCGGCAGATAAAATTAATATCGTTTATGACTAGAAAATTATAGTCTTTGAGAGAGAGAGAGAGAGAGAGGGAGACGGAGAGGGAGAGAGAGAGAGGGAGAGAGAGAGGGAGAGGGAGAGGGAGAGGGAGAGTTCAAAACTCTGTCGCAAAAACTAACGCTCGGCGCGAATACACAAATAGTCGCGATAGACAAAATACCCTCGCTAGTATTTTGTCGCGCATAAAAAGGGAGGTGTACCTACCCTGCGGTGCAATTATGGTGATCAGCCGTAATTGTTTTTTCCAGCGAAATAAAAAATGCTCCTGCGGAATCAGCTACGCTACGTCACTCAAAAGACCTGCTGCTTTAGTTGCTGCTGCTTTAGCTACTGCTACTGTGATGCTGCTGCTTTTTATCAGCTTCCTCGCTAACACTCGCACTTGTATCCAAAATCCCAGGAAAAATTTTTATGTTAATTCGGCAAAACACAGTGAAATCTATTTGGGAGTACCACACAAGTAACAGCTGAGGCTTAACTGAAAACTTTAAACTCTCGTGCGCCTCCTTCCTCTCTTAATCGTTCGCTCTAACATCGCGAGTACTACCGAACCGCGAACGGATGGATTAATCGAATCGACTACCCTTGCAAATGGTTATTTATATAACTGTCGGTTATAATGAATAGTTATAACATCAAAATCAATAATAAACCGTCGGTTATTTTTTACTTGCTTTCAAAATTTTCTCAACAACACAAGTATAAAGTCGATAACTTTACGAAATAAAACATTGCTATAAATTGTCGAAACAATTTTTTGAAAAATAGTTCCAAATAGAATTTTTCAAGCCTCTTCATAATCTTTTTTTATAATTATCTTTATTATTGAAAAACGTACAACCGATTGAAGAAAAATAAAAAAGTGTAACAATTTCTTAAGTTTCTTGCTCGTTTTAATATCCGTAAAAAAACCCTGAGAAAAATTAAGGCAGCCAGAAAGAAAGACTTTGGAGAGAGCTTTAAAATTACCGGATCAGAAAGTTTTTAGAATAAAAATTGAAGGAGCTATGCTTGCTCAAATTCGGAGCAAAACATTCATTACCTATTCAGAATGATTGGCAGATGCTGTATATAAAAAATTCAATTCGAAGAATGAAACTAAAATTTAGTAATTAATATAAGCCACTAAATAACCGAGTTATCTGTATAAACTTATCATTATGTATCATCGGAAGATGAATTGAATAAGAAAGTGAAATTAAAACTATTCAATAAGAAAACAATCTCACTGGTAACCAGCTCATAGATAATTTTGCGGGGCATTCCACGATCTCCATCTCTAGCCTTAACAGTCATGACTAAAGTTCCGATCGGGTCATCCTCCTTAATAATTCCAATAAGAGATCCTAAAAATTCAGGTGGGCTGTTCTGAATATCACCAACTTTAATTTCAACGTCGGTCGTGTTAGTGTTGATGCCATCCTGTCAGCGATAGCCGCAAATAAACCAAAAACATATATTTATCGTTATTAACTCTTACAGTACGTATATAAAGGATAAAGCAAGACTCACGCTCGCTTGAAGTAAAAACTGATAGAAAGCTCGCTCTTTATAATCCAACGACTGGTTAAGAACTAGGGCTCCAATGTAACTATCTTGGTTCTTATTAAGATCAACAATACTAAATTTAGAACAAGCATCTGGAAACTTAAAAATAGATGGCATAATATCAGAATAAGATTTTGATACTAATAAAAATTAAAAAAATAATTCATTCAAAAGTTCATTAACCTGTAACAGAGGAACACAGGTTAATTGGATATTCTCGCCAATGAGGTCTGGATCTATGACACGAATGGTTGGCAGAATGGTCGTGCCAGGTGGCGTATCCTCATCAACAATCGCTTCATAGGGAATTTCTAAAAATTGCGGTGGATTATCATTTTCATCCAACACGATTACGTAAGCCTCTACACCGACGATGTTTGGCTGCTGATCCAGAGGAACGGAGTCCTCCAGTGTCACACGAAACCTTATAGTATCTAGTTCCTGAAACATAAACACATAAAGTTATATAGTATTACTTTATTAGAGAAAAATGTTAGTTATATCTTTTTGTGAAGCTATTGATCCTTAAGATCAAGCTATACACAGATACTTCAATAAAAAATCACGACTTCCTTTTGCTTGGATTTACATGTTCGTGCACAATATGTTTTGCTACAAATTAGTAAGAGAAGGTGTGAAACGATTGTGAAGTTTTTCGAGAATATTCTTAAATCATTATTGTTCCACTGTGCTAGAAGGCGAGAATAAGACCATTTTGACCGTAAACATAAAAGTTATTTTCCTCTCATATATACATACAAATACACATAGATTTATGCAGAAATAGTATAATAAGTATGATAGTTTTATAAGCATATAAACTGTATAAATATGTAAATTTTTAAGATGATAAAATAACGAAACCTTGTGTAAACTTTTTTGATTACTACTCCTCATTCACTCTCATACCGTTTTGCACAGTCATTGCTGTATCAAAGTGCGGAAAATGAGCTTATCAACGATGCGACAATCGCGGAAGTCCTTCTGCATTTTATTCGAAAAGCTGGGAGTCATGAAAAACGATATCAAAATACTTGTGCGCGGTTCCAACTCGACCAATTAATTTTTAAACAATCGGAAGAGATCACTCTCTCTTTCTTTATCTCCCTCCCTTTCCGAATTTATTCATTAAAGATACTCTTTTGTTCACTAAATAGTCCAGTCGATCTGTGAAAGGAGATGGATGTAAAAGGTGGATGCTATATTATTGTTGGAATCGCTTAAAAATAGCATAAATAACATCGTACGTATTAACATTTTCTCTTATTTTTTCCTTGTGCTATGCGCACAATAAATGTTTAAAATAAATTGTGAACATTTTTTCACATGTTTATTCATATTAGACTTAAAATTAGTCCTCTTTGAGCCTTCACAGAGAGCAGAGGTGTTTTTTTTTTATCGCTCCACGACAAGTTGAATTATAAACACAAGCGTTCTCACGTTTACTCTATTTCGACTGCGAAGTACCTGTTTTGAAAATTCCAAAACAGGTAAGGTGACTATGGCTTTTATCACCAAAAACCAAACCAATGACAGTTTTTCGCCTAACGTATTCACTCATTCTGTTGATTCCTCCAAAAGTGCCAGTTATACAACAGTTACTCAAACAAATCTTTTTCCTGTACGTGAGCAAGAGCTAATAATGGACTGTGTAGACAAACTCAAATTGACTGACTATATTTGTACAGTGGGTGAATTTGCAACCAGATAATATTATATATTCTACATGCATTTATAAGAATCGCGTATGTTTATATATAATTAGTTTAACATCAAAAGACTTTCTCCCATAACGACTCTTAAGACATCTATTGCGATAGACGAATAGTGACGTTTTAAGTTCAAAAAGGTAAACTTATATCGATCCGAACGACAGTCACAAGCTATTAGAATCAAATAATATCGTGAATGAAGAATGTTCTTATTATATTTAACCTGGCATGGACAATCTCAAGTGTTTTTTGTATAAAGAGAATGGACATACCGCAGCACACTGCCCTCAAGAAAAAAGTATCAACTCATCACAAAATATAACTCAAATGACACACACCGATATTTTTACTCAACAACTCAACAGTAATGATCCAGATAAAACACAGTCGACTGAGAGTTCAGATGAACTTAAAAATGATAAGTTCAAGGACTCATTGTCTAATAATCCAATAGTGATAAATGACAACATGGACGCAAATACATTCGTTCAACCTTTTCCTCCAGAATTCAAACATGCGATTAGCAGCTCTAGCTCGTCTTCAGCAAGTACAGCCATAGTAAGAAAAAATAAGAAAAAGAAAATTAATCCTATAACGGGGTGGATATTTGCCCGCGTTATTTCGCGAGAGATCGGTAAGTATTTTATACAGCTCAATGCGGGCGTACGACAACCGTACGAGACTATGCCCGGATGTTCAGTTACGCCTTAAGGCCCGCGGGAGCGTCGTGGGATCAGTAGCTAGTCTTCTAGATAATTCACCGACGAGAAGAGCGTGGAAAGTTGTAGAGTCAGGTGTAAATGAGAAAATAGGTTACGTAAAATAAATGATATTTATACAGCTTGTAAGTTTACATAGAAAGCAACGCGGCGATAAAGAGAGAGAGAATAACTAGCTAGCGAGAGAGAGACAAGGTACGCAAGTAGATACTTACAAATGCGCGCGAGACCACGGAAGAGCCTTATCAACTGCTTGATTACAGAGGGACGATCGGCTAGTTCACACTAGAATAGTCCCACACACTATCTTGCAACACTGCACACTATTTGCTGTAGGAAGTCTCTCTTTTCTACTGCCGCTGGGCCAAACCAAAATATCTCAGTGAAGATGGGCGATACTCGACCTCTTTGTGAAAGCCGGCCGGCAAGAACACGTGTGTTTTCGGCCGCGATTCTCAAGCTAATGTCGCGGGAGCGTACCCCCACTCTCTCCTCTACTCTGTCGAACCTAAGTCGGTTCCTGTCGCGCGGCCGTCTCTCTCTTACACGTTAGCGCGCCTTCGGTGTGGATCTGCACGGGCTTATCCTTCCTCTCGCTAGTTCGCGTTGCGGATTAAGTATTCTCTCTCTCTTATCTCGTACTCTATTGTCTGCTGCGACTGCCACTTCTAGGTTTTGTACATAAAGTCACATAAGTTAATATAGATATAAATATATAAGTATATATATATATATATATATAAGAGTGGTTGTTTGAGAGAGAGAGACATAACGAGTGGTTTATCGCACGTTATAATCCTTTACCCCTGAAAAAAATCAAAGCCGCACACTTCCTTACCACAAATAAGATTTCTCTAAATCTTGAGCCATGTAAGCATCTATTTATTAAAAATAATAACATATATCCGCTTGATTTAAATTTGATGAATGAGTTCCTATATACAACATTTGTTATATACTCAAAAGTATACTATAGACACGCAAAGCTTGGTTTCAGAATTACGTGACGTACACGATAACATTCTCGACAGAAGACTAAAAATAAGGATCAACAGAATGATTAAACGCTTGAATGAACCTACTGACACTTCGATTATGGGAGGAGATACTTAATCAACGTGGAATCCACACAAGATACATAGCCCTCTTCAACTTCATGTTCTTCTTCAATAACATTGAAAATTCTGTACTGGACCACGAGAAGTTTCATAAAGAGACGATTAGAAATAGAAACAAGGATAAAAAATGTGATACCATTGCTTGAGTTGAGACCTGGCTTATGTTTCACGATGTCATCCGTTATCTTCGATTCTTGACGCTTAAGAAGGATAGGAATAAGGGAAAAGGAAGACGCATGCTTTTTTAATTTGCAATAACTTAGCTTACACCAAAATAGTCGATGTTACTTTCTCTGCAGAACACGCAGAATTGTGCGGTATACACATCAATAATATAAGTCCCCCTCTCGATGTTATCGCATGTTACAGAACTCCCGGTCTCACTCTTTTTCAACAGCTGTGGCATGACCTACTAGACAATGTAAACAACCGCGTTAACTGTCTGTTAATAGGCGACTTCAATATTCATAATCTATCCAACTCGATAGACTCTCACAATTTATCTCTTCATAACGCTGACTCAAAAACTTATATTAACATTCACCGCAATATCTTTTCTAACCTAGATTTAGTCCTCTCCTTTATCAATATTGTCGACAAAATTAGCTGTCGAGTAAACGATGAGATTTAGGGATCTAACCACTATCCCATCACTATTAACATAGATACCAAATAATATCACTATGATAAAATAACATTTAAATTAACTAGCATTCAAACAAACTCGACTACATTTTATATTCACTTTGAGAAAAATTTTTCCAATTTTTTATCTCTCGAACTCAAAGGCTAATGAGAAATATGTGAAATTCATCGAACAAGTAACTGAAGCAATCTACCGTTGTACTAAAAAAAATCATAAAAAAAATAAAATTATGCACAGAAACCCAGTCGCTTGATGGAATATTGAATGCGCTCATTTTTAAAGACTATATCATGCCACACTTAATAAATGGCAGTTTTCTAAAAATCTTGTGAACTGATCGAATATGAAAAGAACGCAGATCTGTATCGTAAAACTGTTGAATCGAAAAAAAAAAGACTGCTTCAAAGAATTTGCAGCTAGTCTTAATGTTCAAGCAAATCCAAATTACGTTTGAAATACGAGCAAAATATTGAAAAATTACTCGGTGAAAGCTCCTCCTTAACACTTCAGTCTAAATCTACTGAATGATAAAAAATCAGAATCAGCTTTAAATGAATCAAGCCCAACATGGGTCCAAACAAACCCTTCTTGACTTCCACAATGCCTACCAAATGAATTTTTCCACTCTTCTTTCAAATTCCAAGAATTTAATACTGTTTTAGATATAAAAAAAATTAAATTATCTTAAGGTATAGATGGCACTGACTTTCAAACGATGCAAAATTTGCCGATTAAGTTTAAACTAATTATAACAGATATTTTTAACGAAATGTTCCAAAAATAACTATCCACTTTCTTGGAAGCAATCTTATATATACTTTATTTCCAAATCGAACTCTCATAGCGTGCGGCTTACAGCTCTCAATTCCTGCGTTTGTAAACTTTTTGAAACAATGCTGAGAAACCGTCTCACATGGTGGATCGAACACTTCAATATATTTTCTCAAAATTAATATACTTTCTCAAAATTAATATAAATTTCGTAAAAACAAATCATATATCAACAATCTCGCGTCTCTCATTCTCAAGGTCAAAGAGGCATTTGTTGAAGAAAAAAGACCTTTTAGCTGTTTATTTATGTACAAGAGGTCATTGATAACATAACCATTGACATTCTCCTGACAATTTTAGCCGACATTGGTTGCCCCTACTATGTCTTGAAATTTATTAAATTTTTGACCCACAAACGACACATTTTCTTTGAATATATATATATTTTGAATATATATATATTGTAACGGGGTAA